AAGACATTGCTCACACACAGAGTGAGAGCGAGAGCACTGTTATTTGTTTGCTTGTTTAATCATTACCCCACTCTTCTTTGTAAGAGTCCAGTGGGTGGGATTTTACATGAAAACACATTATTTGCAAATATCTAAAATCACAAACTTAAAATCATGAACTACACATTGCAAATATCTAAAATTACAAAAATGTATTGGAAAATGTGATAAAAACAGTACAAACATGCATCAATCTGATAATGGTGGTAATGGTGCCTGGAATCCTGTTAGTTATGAAGTTAGACTTACGACCTTGTAACTGCTTTATATTCACATTTATGACCATGGCACTATTGCCACAAGTGCAAATGCCCCCATCACTCACTTTAACCCACTTTAAAATCCAGGGAGTCTTCCCAAGTGATGGAGTTCTGTGGTGCAGGCAAGCAAGGTGCTGCAGGAGGACACAAACAACCTCCTCCCACTAGTGAGTGATAGTGAGAAAAGCAGAAGCAGGGACCCCTGTGGAGTCCTGTCACACATGAGTACAATGTAGTTTAAAACACACAAATGAAAGACAAATTAAACATGCACTTATTTCCTCATACTTGTGCAAACAGATGGCCAAGATCCTGTGTCACACTGGCAGATCATAACATTTCCCCAGATATAAAATTTAAATACTTGCATCTCATCCTCCCTCCCTGCATGTTCAACTTTCCTTTCTGTATTTTGAGTAGTCTTGCAATGGAGGACAGTAAGCAGCCAGGATGCTTGGGAGATACAGCCAGGATGTTGCAGGAACACAAATGGCTGGCTTCCAGTCTGGCTCCTATCTACCTCTGGCTATTGAAAATCTGTGAAGATGGCCATGAGATCTCAGATAGAAGGGAATTCCATTAATGGGATGCCACCACTGTTCAAGCCATGCAACATGTTGAAGTTCATGTGTTGTGCCACTACCCCAGTTTAACTTATCCCATAGAGTGAGATATAATTCCAACATGCAGATTCTTGCACCTCCTGGCATACCCTTGGTGCCACTGGCCAAGACAATAAACTATACATTAAAATGACCTTAAAAAGAAATGTTTTTGAGTTTTAGAATTCCTTGTCTAAAACATTAGCAGTCTGGCATTATGGCTGGAATTCTAGTTGGGACATCTTCATGTGTATGTGACCCTTACACCTTCTTTACATGAGAAGATCTGATTTTTCAGTCACTGCAGGGGGTAGTATTGCCATCCTCCCAGCACAGCACCAAAAGATCCCTTCCTGACTTACTGTAAACACCCAAAGTCACCTCATACAGACATTCCATGCTTCAATGTCAACAGGCAGGATTGGAGAAGCATCTGGCAATGGCCTCCCCAACCTGGATGCACAATGATTACAAAGTGCCAAGACCTCTGGACAATTCCCATAGATCTCAGCACTGATGTCATTTTTGTGTGTCCAGCTTTGGGGGAGGTAGATAGACCTTCTCTGAACCAGTCTGTTTGCTTTGAAGCATGGAGTACCTGTATGCTTCAGTTTTTATTTATATTTCCCACCTTTCCCTATGGATTGAGGCGGGATTACACTATAAAATGTAGGACAAAATACAAAAATACAATATATAAAAACATAACATTTTGATAATCACAAATAAATACAATACAATGCAATACAATGCAATGCAATACAGTACAATAAAAATCCAATACAATGAATAATCAACATCATTCATTGCTCGGGAGGTCATATTAGATAATACTTATTCAGATTCATTGAGGGGAGGCTATAGCATAAGGTCCACTTGCTAATCTTTATTTGCTGAGGAGGTGTTGAATTGAGACGAATTGAGACTCCCCTAGTTCTTTTTTGGCTTCCAAAACTCCATTAAACAGTGGCTCAGGAAATCTGAGAAATTTAAACTGAGATCTGGCATTAACAACTGTGATCCATAATATTGTGATGATGGAACTGCACTGCTGACACAATATGCAATCATGCTAGTGAATTGTGACAACACACAACAGGGGACCATGCAAGATGTCCTGTTGCACAATGTACCATTGCACAATGGGGGCTTCCATTGTGCAATGGTACACATTGTTTACCAGGCTCATAAGGTAATGGCCATATTGCTGGGTTTGCTGTGCAATGGTCCTGATCATGGCATAGCTACAAATCTCTGCTTTCCTCCTGAGAATACAAAAATAGTGCAATAGCGTACTCCAACTTTACACTATCATAAGTTGGTTCAAAACAATGTAACCTCCCAATAGGATGCAGTTATAATTTTGGGTGGAATAGCTTCCTCTTTTTACATGGGATATAGTAAATAAAATTATCTGGAAGGGGTGATAGATGTTTCAGCAATAGATCCAGACAATAATTTGGCAAAATGGAAAGACAGACATTCATCATTACTATTGCCATGAAGCAAATGAAGTGTCTGTGGGTTTTAAACTGAAGTACTGGTTTGGCTATAGCCTGCTAGTGAGGACATGATAGCCATGACATTAAAATGAAAGCTTTCTTGATTCTACAGATTGGTGTCCCTCATCTTTTATTAAATATCACTAATGTAAGGAGGGTCCAACTTGTTACATTTATCACCTAGTTGATGTCAAACAGTGTAACTGACTGATGTTTGCAGACTGCATCAAAAAACTGGTTTTAGTGTAACAGAGCAGGGCTCTTGCCTCTCGATTACACACAGTTTAGAGAGCAGAATGAAAAGCAATTCTTAGGAAGCAAAGGCCTTTGGGGTCTCACCTTCCTCCATCAGATAGTGTTTCTAAGGTATGTGAAGAAGCAAGGCTCCATGGAGGTTAATGGTGTCCATATAAATTGCTCAAATACCTTTACACAAATCTACCATGCAGGCAAGGGATTAAATTTAAATCTGACTGGATTAGCCAAGGAGCTTTGCACAGTGATTTAGAATTTCAAGGCGGCGCGGGGGGGGGGGGGGGGGGGGGGGGGGGGGGGGACTAATATTAAATTGTCATTTTTGTCAACTTTACAGCACAATTTGATCCTCCCCATATAATGATATGTAAGCCAGCATCCCCAGGATCAGGTGAAGAAAAAGCTTTCACTGCGGAAAATAGCAGTGAAATTTGTTGTATCACAATATTTTACAAGAGAAACTGAGGGGTAGTTAGTGCAGCCAAGGTAGGACTGAGTTTGCTTGCTTGTTCTATGCTTTCTTGTCAATTGCCTTTCAAGGTCAATATCCATCTCTTTCTACTTCTTTTCTTTCTTTTGAAGAAATTAACATTTCGTAACTTTGGTTCCTACTTCCCTCATGATGCTGTTTTTCTTTTCACCACGCCTTTTCAATAGTAGCTGAAGATTTCTGGAAAATCCACATCCCTGAAATAAATGCACAGTTTAAAAAATATTTTAGCACTTCTTTAATCTAAAGGATAATCATTTTCGAGTCTTTTAAAGATGGGATGAGGTAGTGTTGCAGCTACAGCAGAATAAAATAAATATCTCATACAGAAGGAAAAGTGGATTCTTCTATGGTGTTTAATATAGTAGTGAGACATTGATCCTTGGGATTAAAATTTGGAGTGTTATGAACATGACTAAATTTTCATCTGGGAAATGCTGCAGATTCAAATCCCCACTCAACCATGGAAACTTAGTGTGTAACCTTGGGCAATTCACACTCTCTCAGCCTTTGAAAAAGGCAAAGGCAACCTCCCCCGCTCCCAGCAAGCAAATCTTGCCAAGAAAATCTTATCACTGTAGTGTCACCATAAGTTGAAAATGACTTGAAGGCACACAACAACAAATACAACCAGAACACTGACCTGTGCTTTTAGATAGGACGTTATCACACAGGGGCAAATCGCACAGAAACTGGACAGAAAGTGGACAGAAACTGGTGTTAACCGCGATCTTTTGAAATTCGATTGTTTGGAGGAAATGCAAATGCGAAATTAAGGTAATTTCGCATTTACCGTAATGTGAAAAGCAAATGCGCATTTGGGAGCATTTCCCTGCTTTTCCCATTGTTCCAGTGAGCCTTCCTCTATCTGTGCATGTGCAAGAAGCTCATTTCTAGTACATTTACGGGCTTTTCTCACTTGTGTGTGAACGTTAAATGCGCTTACGGTAAATTCGCAATTAAGGTAATTACGTGTGAAAGCCATTTGCGGAATCAAGGTTTATTTTCAGTTTATTTTCAGAATGCCTCATTTCCACTTTATTTTTGCTTTCTGGCCCACATGTGATAACGTCCATAGAAATGAAATTTCCTTAGCACTAGCCAAGTCATCTTTTTGTCTCCCACTATCAATGCAGTCTTAAGCTCTCCCAGGGACAACAAATACAAGAGCTTGGAAAAGTCCCTTCATTGGACTACAACTCCAAGAATCCCCCAGACAGCTTATACCTGGGAGCTGAAGATCAAAAGGGGGGGGGGAGGGAGCCTTGAGGAAGGCTTAGTGTTTTGTAGAACATAGTTTAGATATCACTGTGCATTTTGGAAACAGTAGAATATATTTCTGTCAGGTGCTTCCACAAATCAGGAGGAGGAATGTGGAGGAAAAGACAAAATCTGCAATCTATGCTTATACCATGCCCATCCCCCCCCCAGAAAAAAACCATGCCTACCTCCTCCCATCCATTTCAGCATTCTGCTGTCTCTATTTATAAAAGCGAAATTGCTCAGCAAGGTATGCTGGGTAATGATACACACGCTATTGCCCAAGGCAGGATTAGCGCTAACTGCATTGCAGCAATACCAAGGCTTGCCAGTTGGGAACATTTGTGCATGCGTAGTGCCATCTCGTGAAAGGCCAGCAACTGCCTTACTGATCAGAGTTGGCATACTCTTGACACTCTATTTAAATACTTGGAGCTGGATCCAAACTTAGAACAGGCCCACTGGATTCTTTGGGGCAAGTAATTCATCATGAAGCTCATTTCTTTCAAGGGGGCGGCCTCTTAGTGTGAGTGAATCTGGATCTAATCCTTATACCAGACTTAATTTTTGCTGGGTAAAAGTACAATTGAGAGCCTGTGTGGTGTAGTGGTTTGAATGTTGGACTGTGACTCTGGAGACCAGGGATTGATTCCCAGCTCAGCCTTGAAACCCACTGGGTGACCCTTGGCAAGTCACAGTCTCTCAGCCTCAGGGGAAGGCAACTCTGAACAAATCTTACCATGAAACCCCTGTTATAGGTTTGCCTTAGGGTAATCATAAGTCAGAAATGACTTGAAGGCACACAACAACAATAAGCAACAAAAGTACAATGAATACTATACCCTCCCAATTTCATAGTATCCACAACATGTTCAGCAGTCTTAGGCCTTCAGAAGGAATCAACGTGAGCCTGACAGCAGCCCCCATGTTGCACTTCATGCAAAATGTCTAGGAAAATAGGCTGGAATCCTGTTGAGGACTTATAGTGTACTGATGTCTGTTTGAATTAGAACTGGCCAGTTGCATAACATTCACATCCATAGAGGACTGCTCTGTTATTATGTAGCAGAGTAAGCAAAGTGCCCAATGCACATTAGGCAATCTGGCTGCTGTCCCATTACACATTTTTGCAGTTCAGTGAAGGGATTTCTTAATGCCTCTGCTACATAGCTAGGTATATGTAAAGTTATGTAATGTAACAGGTCATACAGAATTCTGGCAGTGAGTTTCATGGGCTTGAAATTAAATCCTGAAAAGGACTTTTAGGATTATATCCTATATATCTTTATGTGATGAGAGGGAGACCTGGGTACCAGGAGCAATTGCCAGCATGCCAAAAATGATGGTACAGCTCCAAGGTGTATTTATATACCTTCCAACATTTCTGAGATGAAATCTGAGATATGTGTGGTCTAGAGACATTAGATTGTGGTCAAGACTGCAAAGTTATTAATGAAGAAGAACACACAAGCTAAGAGAAGCTGGCACAGTTTGTCTTTGCCTGAACCTAATGGGAAGGACAAGATCCTACCTTTTCTTTTCCCTCCCCACTGCTGTGTTATCTGAGTGCAAACTGCTTTGCACTTTGAACTCAAGTGTGCAGCAATGGAAGTAAGCTGAGGACAAAGAGGAAAGTGAGAGGAGAAGAGAGAGATGGGAACATTTTGAAAGCAGCTGAAAAGTGTGACACCAAAGGATTAATTTCAAACTTCCCTGCTAGTTTGGGACAGTTGGATGTTAGGCATTTAAAAGTCTAAAGTTTTAAAAAGTTACACTTGGTAATTTTTTATCACAGCCGGGAATTCCATAAAATAAGAGCATGAGATCACCTGTTTTCTTGTGAGAACATCACAGCCAACTTGGTCCCACCTTTTGCCTAGCAGGGAAGGGTGTACGGGAGTGCATTCTCTGACAACTGTTTGTTTTTGTGTGTGTTTTTGCTCTTCCCACCACCCCTAAAACATGCAGATGAGCTTGTTCTTGTGTAGTGATGTTTTCTTTGCCTGGTTCTTGGCTAGTTAACCCTTGGGCTGACATCCATAGTTTTGATCTCTGTGTAGAGGCTACACATGCATTATTCCAGATTAAACATACTGTTGCCCAATGGAGTGGGGAGCCCTTTTGCCAACTATGAGGATCAGCTATCTACTGGCTGAAGGACCTTCGGGTGCTTTCCTTTGCTATATAATGTATACTGTATCTGTTTATCATCATCAAAGTATGTTTTGACCAATGATATGTGACAGTCTTGGTTCTTATCAGACCTTGTAAGAAATCTGGGATTATGTCCAATCCTGGCTCTGAATACCTTACTCAAAGTACTGAACATTTTATGTAGCACTAAAGAATAGGACAAAGATAGACAAACAGATAGATATGTGCATATTTTATTTTATTTATATTCTGACTTTCTCCCAGCAGGAGCTTAAAGCAAGGTTAAAGCAAGATAGAGCTAAAATGTAAACAGAGTTAAACACAGTTTAACACAGTTTAACAGAATCCAAGTTGCACATCATATTAAAAGTCCATTAATTTAGAAGATGTAAAATCAAGTTGGCCTGTGGATGAGATTTCTCCAAGACCCCCTGTCCTCCATTACTCTACTCAGGCCCTGCAGACTCAGGCCCATGGCTTCTCTGATTGAGTCTAACTATCTGGCACGGTTTTGTGGTCTTCCTCTCATTCTACTGTCCTCTGCCTTTCCTAGCGTCATTGCCTTTTCCAATGATTCATGCCTGGGAGAGTTTGGGCTTAATCTGTTCCAGAATCCATTTGTTTGACTTTTTGGCTATCCATGGTATCCTTAGCACTCTTCTCCAGCACCATAACTCAGATGAGTTGATTTTCTTTCTATCAGCTTTTTTCACTGTCCAGGTCACATATCCATACTATAGACCTTATCACACGAGGTCTAAAGCAGTCCCATCCCTGTCGCATCCCCGTCCCATTGCGCTTCCTTTCCCCGTGTCTTCACACGATGTCGCACCCATCCCCGTCCCATTGCGGCATCATCCAGCATCATCCCCGTTCTTTTGAATGCCGGTTTCTTTGGAAATTACATTTTGCCGCGACCAGAATGATACCGGAATGATGCTGCTTTCTGTATGCCGGTAAGTTCTGGATTGAAAAGGAACCGCAATGGGATGGGGATGCGACGGGGATGGGACTGCTTTAGGCCCCGTGTGATAACATCCATAGTGATGAAGAATACTATGGCTTGAACACCTCACTTTGGTGTTCAGAATAATATCTTTACACTTTAGGATCCTGTCCAGTTCTTTCATAGTTGCCCTTCCTATTCCTAGTTTTCTAAATTTTTTGGCTGCAGTCTCCATTCTGATCAATATTTGATCCAAGGTATGGGAACTCTTTGACTATTTCAATTTTCTTGTTATCTAGGAGGAATTCTTGCAGATTTTCCATGCATCATTATTTTTGTTTTCTTATGTTCAGAATTAAGCCTATATTGGCACTTTTCTCTTTGACCTTCTTAAGTAATTGCTCCAGGTCTTTATTTGTTTCTGCTAGTAATATTGCATCATCTGCTAATGTTGCTTACTTTAATCTTCATTTCTCCTGCCTCTGACACTAAGCCTGCTCTGCATATGATATTTTCTACATACAGGTTACATTGATAGGATGATAGGATGCAGTCTTGCCTGACCTCTTTGCCAATTGGGAACCACTCTGTTTCTCCATATTCAGTTCTGATGGCAGCCTCTTATTCTGAATCCAAGTTGCACATCAGGACAATTAGATGTAGTAGCACTCCTATTTTTTTGAGAGCATCCCATCCATAGCTTTTTGTAGTTTATGCAGTCGATAGAGCACATGCAAATTTTCTTCTGGAATTTTCGTATTCATTGTATGTTTTCTATGTGGTTCCTAGTGCCTCTTCCTTTTGTGAATACAGCTTGCATCTCTGGGATTTCTCACTCAACAAATGGTTGGAATCTTTGCTGCAGAATTCTGAGCATGAATTTGCTTGCATGGGAAATTAGTGCAATGGTTTTGTATTTACTGCAGTCTTTTTCAGATGCATTTCAGATGTTCCAGTTTTTCTTTCTTTGTCGCTCCCCACTTTATCCCTTTAGCCTCACCTTACTTTAATTGCTGCAAATTGATTTCAAAGTACAAAAATAGTTTGCACTTGGTTCTCACTAGGAGGGAGGGGAAGGGAGCAGCTAGAATCCTACCCTTTCCAGTAGGCTAAGGCAAAACCAAACTGCTTCAGCTTTTGCCATCACTTGTAAAGGTCCCATCTATAGCCCCATTGCTTTTGCAGAAGATAAATAAGACGCTGCCTATATATATATATATATATATATATATATATATATATATACACACACACATACATATATATATTTAAAAAGCTACTATATTCAAATCAGCTGGCATCTAGCATCTCCCCCCACTTTCTCTCATTCCCTCTCTCTCCCTTTTAAAAATACAGAACTAGTTGAAGTTAGCATGCTGATTAACATCTTGTCAAACAACTTGCATTAATAAAGGCAGTTGTTCTGCCAACTCATCTAATGTTCTTACAAAAGCCAAGCTTAAAATAGAGCTTTTATTAATAAACATGACCAGACCAAACATAGCACTCATTCCGGGTTAGTCTGCTACACACAGACAAACAGGTTGAGGTCAATAGAGTTTGAAAAACTCTGAAGAATGTTGTGACCCCTTAAAGATAATGAAGTTTATTGTGGCATGGACTTTCACCAGCATCATGAGATGTAGGAATCCAAAGTTAATCAAGACAACTGAGCTCTATGCGCCATATCTATCACCTTCCTTATATTTGGTGCAGTGCTGGCTCACGTTGGTTGGAGTAAGTTCATGTGGTTTTAATCTCTGGGATCAGGTGAACTTTTTCAGTATTCACCATCTGCTTCACTGAGCTGCACTCAGTGGACAACTGACAGATAGCAAGTTACGATGGCTACAGAACAGTGTTTACCCATAATCGTTCTGTACTAAGCCCTGATGTTATATTCTTGGGGAGGAAAGCCTTGCTTACTATGGATGTAAAGCTTGAAAACATTATTTATTTGGACTGTACCTTCTAGAACCTCCCAGCCAAGATTCTGGCTGAGGAACACTGGGAGCTGTAGTCCTCCTTACCCCCTTTTTTTCTTGACTTTGAATAAGTAGATTTAGAATTAGAGATCACCATGTTGATAGATACATCTCAGAAAGGACTCCGCAAAGTTGAATGCTTCCTTTCCCTTGAAATATTAGATATAGGCATAGGGGTATAATAAAGTGCACTGAGGCAATGATTCAATGCCACATTTACCAGGGAACACATCCTATTGAATTCAATGGGGCTTATCTCTGAGTAGATATGTATAGAACGATTGAGTTCAGACCAGTTCAAAACTTTCCCTTGTATTCGTTTTATTGGAATGTCTGAGTATTTCAAATAAATCTTTGCACCATAGTCTCAGTAACTCATTTCCCTTATACTGCTTTGGATTGGAGAAAATAAGGGAGCATCAAAAACTGATGGCATACTATACATCTACTAACATCCACTCACTTCCCACCTAAGATCACCTGAAAAAAAGTTAATCAAAAATGTTAATTTTAGACTGGATTATTATATCCATTCCAATTGCCCAGTTTGATTGCTTTCATGTTTATCTTTGCAATGTT